TCAATTTAAAATTAAAAAAAGTGAAAATGTGAGACCCATAATGCCACGTAGGTAACTAATGGGGAGATCTGACAGAGATTTTAACGGTGGAACCATATTGTAACAAATTTAAATATTTATTCTTGTCAATTTCATCATTTTCAATTCAAAATTTTTTTTTAATTTTTAATTTTTTAAATATTGGTAAGACATTCCGTCTTTTCTTTGCCTAGCATCATCTCCTTCTTTCTTGTCTCTCTCTCTCTCTCCCTTTTCTTCCCCCTACTTCATTTCAGTGTCTTGGTGGAGTCAATAAATTCGCACCGAGAAACTGACGAACTGACTCAAGTTAAACTTAAAACATTTACAATCCACCCAACTTAATTATCTCTTAATTTGCCAATGGGGTTTAGCTCAGTGGAAATGATTTTTTGACTTGTAGATCAATGGTCTCATATTCGAACTCTCATGACACATTAACAATATGTGTGAGAAAATCTCACACCCCCAATATCGCTTGTATTAAAAATTTAAAAACAAAACTATTTACTTACTTCAAATTTAGCATGAAGATGTCCACCGGGAACTCTCCTTTGTAGTTTGTTTATTCGTCACTGGAAAGCAAGAGCCATCCATTCAAAAGGTCACGTTCTTGTGAGTTCCAAGTTTCAAGTGGGATTTGATTGGAATGTGAAGCCAACCCTTCAATTATTAGCATAACATGCTTAATTTAAAATAAGAAGAGCTAGTTGTTCCCTTCATGTGGGGGTCCATTTCAGCTTCAACTGTTAAGAAATCTGCCACAAAAACAGGAAGAAGAAAAACAAACAAAAAAAAAGCTGCAAGATCACGTGTTAATTGTAATCAATTTCCCATCAAAATCAAAAGCATGGTTTGGTTTCAAAATTCAAAACCTAATCCCCCCTCCACTCCATCAACTCAGTTTGAATTTGGATCGAGTGAGATGAATCTCAGGCACATAATCTGGAAACAATATGTATTTCATCATTATCATTACATCATCACCATGTGTCGCAAGGATCACTATGGGACTCAACGGATTTTATATATAGAAAATAATGAATGGGAATATACATCAGATGTGAGGAAATTACTTATATAATATTTTAATTAATCTTGGTTGTCATTTTAAAGAATAATAATTTGGTAATGATGTCGCACGATCTGTGATTAATATAGTTTAATTTTGAGGTTTTCTCTACCACCCCTTTCATCGGACATATAGTTTCTAAGGTTCTAATATGCTGACCCAAAAAAAAATAAATGAGAAGAAGATATGTCGACCCTTTTATTATTGCACGGCCCAATTCAAGGTTGCGTTGCTACTAATGAGGCAATCAACGAAAAACTTGTATTTTTTTCACTTGAATATATATACAGAAATTTGCTATGTTCGGACATTATTACTGTGTGGATGTCATGTTTATTTTTTATCCTTTCTTGTTTTTCTCTCTATTTACAATGATATCCGCATTTAACGTGCGAACATCCGTATAAAAATAACTATATATATTTATTCAAGTTAAATGAGTTGGCACCTCCTTTGGTGGGGTGTCTTTTTTCTTTCTTTATTTTGACCTTGTTTTATTCTTTTTAAAAGAAAAAATTGGGTTGTTTTGATGTTATTTTCTTATTCAACAAATGTAAACAAAGACCATTCAGATTTTTAATTATTATTATCGTTTAAGGGTATGGGAAATTTGGATTAGTCTACTTTTAAGCCTAAACATAAGATTAAGAAGTCTCATTTTCTTATACACAGTAGATCCGAAGTGCATGTATTGGGTGGGGGATCTCGTCCCCTCAAATATAAAAATATAAAAATTGTGGAGTCTTTTGTTATTTGGTCGTCGCCAGTCGTAGATTCTAAAGGATAAACAAACTTAAATAATACACCATAAAAAATAATTCTCTGCTCTTTCTCACATTCTCAACATCCCTGAATCTAAACAAGCTAACTTTAAATTTGAATGCTTTATGAAATTTTCAAGCATGTAAGCCACAAAAAGTTGAAACTTTCAAGTAATGAAAAATAAATGATTTTTTTAATACAAGCGATAGTCTAAACTAAAGAGAATGAGAATTTCTCTCACACACACACACAAAATTAAGATGCAATGTGGGTTCGAATATGACAAAGCTATTTTTCATTGATTAGACTCCATTGGCAAATGATATTTTGAATGAGAGATAAACATGAAATCTAAATGATATGCGTCTAAATTGTTTGATAAATCTAATCTAGGGTTTGAGTATTGTTAAGAAAAAGAAGTATGTGACAATGGGTTATGGTTTATTCAGTAATTATATCAGAAATTGGTGTGCATATTAGTAATTGGTGGTTTAAATAAAGGTAACTTATTATTATTATTAATACAAGTGATAGTTTAATTACTCTAAATTAATCTAATCTACGAGGAAGGAGACTTGAACTCGAGTGTAATGGGGTAGACTCACTGCCCTGACCAACTGACCTGATCTAGGTATGCAAAATAGGAGATGCTTCAAGAGTAGTTGATTGGGTAATACAGACCACACATTCATTTTTTCTTTATCAAGCAGGATGAGAGATTCGAAAAGTCGTACGTTTCTGAACTTGAGCATATGTCTTTTTGTTTTAATTTTGAAACTTGAGGTTGAGAAGAGAATGGCTGCATTTGCCTATCAAATCTTTCCAGAAATATTACAGCAAATCTTTTCCTTTTAGAATGAACCAACAAATGTATCTAGTTTTAAAAAATTTATTAAACACAAATTGTGAGCTCTTAATTGGTGTAAGATTCAAATCATTTATCGGCTGCATTGCAACTGATAATAAAATCCTAACAAAATTCTCATGCAGATGCAGAAGATTTCGTCTACCAAGGGCATTATAGGAATTTCAAGTATCCTCCATGCAACGTGCCAAGCAAAACGATGCCACAGACAAACCCAAACCTTCTACTCAGACCTCACAATGACCAAAAACTCCCTTCAAACTCCAAATACATAGGAACAAGTCAAACTTTACCAAAGTTGAAAATGTATGTATCTTCCAATTTACCAAAACAAATAAATAAATAAAAATAAAACAAAAACAGTAAATATAATTTGAAAACCTCAAGAGGCTACCAGATTTCACGGTCAATTCAATAAAAAAAATAAATAAAAAAAATTAAACAAAGCCAACAGCACACTCAATGAACTGTCCTTTAACCTTTCCTGGTCAAACAGTCAACACCATTACAAAAAAGCTATTAATTTTATATATATTATTAAATCAGTTTTTTCATTTCCATTTTAATTTTCCATTAACATTAACCAAGCAACAACCTTTCACTGCTTTTCTGTGTCAGAGTTTCAAATTGTGGCCCATCCCGCTCGCTCACACTCCCCCCCCCCCCCCCTCTCTCTCTCTCTCTCTCTCTCTCTCTCTCTCTAAGCTCACAGAGCTCTTCTCTCACCTCCTATATCTGGAGGTCTTGGAGCTTGGAGGAGAGAAATTCAGGACAATCTTTCAGCCCAACAATGCAATGTGTGCGTCTATACGCATCAAAATCTGCGTATGTAATCATGGGCTTTTAAAATTTTTTTGGTTTAGTTCTAGTGACAAATCGATTAGGGTTCGTGGGTTTTGTTGCTATTTTTGAAATTCTTCAACTTTTGGCTCGTTTGAGATGGTTCTGTGTACCAATGTATGCTTGGTTAATGAGAAAATGTGGGAAAGAAAAAGGAAATGGATAAATTTTCAAGAATCTTTCTTTATCTTTTTGGGTGAATATTTGAATGATAATGAAAAATAGCTCCACTTTAACTGAAGCTGGATTTCTCTACTTTTATTTTGTTTCTTCTTCTTCTTCCTCAAAATGAAAAATTTCCAAAGTAGGTCGTATTTCCTTTTGTCTTCTCCCATTTTATTGGGGATCAAACATGTCAAGGTCTCAAATTTCTGTGTTAAATTTGGAGATTCTGAAATTTCAAAAAATGGGCTCAAAGCAGAAATGATTTTTACCCGGAAGAGCTCAGCTTGATTGCTGAGAATTTGTGGGTAAAGAAAACGAGCTCAGTTTTTGAGTCCTTTGATGACTTTTGGTCCCACTTCCATCTGATCTGAGTAGCTAAAATTTGAAACTTTCAAATTCTAGTTTGTTTTCTCAGAAACGATTTTGTGGGTTTGACATTTTTTGGCTATGTCTTCATGCTTTTCCCTGGATTTCCCTTACAATTCATAGCTTGATTAGTGTGCCCAATGTACTACTAGTCTGAATGAATTACCAAAAAATGGGGTGTTAAGAATTTTTTATTTTACTTTACAGCTGCTTTCACCCTTTGAACTTACCATCGGCATTTTTTTTTTCTGTATGATATCCATTGAACAACAAATTTTCTGTGTTTTCGAAACATCTTGAAATGAACCCACTTTGACATGAAAGTTTTGCAGATTTTTCTGAACATGTCTATCATTTGAATAGAAATTTGGGTATAAGCTGAAGCAAGTCTTTTCCATTGATCTGTATTATGACAAAAAATGGTCAATTTAATGACTCTCCATGTAATTTGGTACTTTGGGAGTTTGCTCAGAAATATTATTTGCGACGTGACTTCTACTGATCATTCAAATATTTCTTATAGCCTGTTATAGATGCGATCTTGTGTAGTATATGAATAACATTATTTCGTCTGTCTATCAGATTTCAAAGTCCATACAGTTTTCTATGAGTAACTTTATATCCACCATCATAGTGTACTGTTCAACTGCACTAAAAAAGGTGCTCAGTCCATTTACAATCTTACATGCTTATCATGGTTTTCAATTACACGGGGGCCTCAGTTTGAAGTTGCATTACAATTTACAACATACCTGGAGATCTTCATAGAAATGCCATATTTCCTGATTTCTTGATCTGTATATCGGTAGTTGCTTACTAATTATGCAGCTTCTTCTTTAATTTACTCGGCCCTGGTTTTGTTGCAGGTCACATTGACTGGTTCGATTTGATGTGGTGTTCTGCTTGTCTCTCATGTCTGCAAACATGAAGAGAGAAAATATGGTCACCTCCAATGTTCGAGAGCTTCCTGGAAGAATAACACGTGCTCGAGCTGCTGCACTTCATACATCTGGACAAATGCCCCCAATAAAACCACCCACACAACAGAGCCAGAAGCAGGCTGTGCGAACAAATCCAAAAAGAGCTGCCACGGATGAGAACAGTACAAAAGCTGCTGGTAATGCATGTATGCAACGTAAGAGGAGGGCTGTGCTTCAGGATGTGACCAATGCTTGCTGTAAACCTTCATATGGGAGCTGCTTCAATGCAACCAAAATTCAGGTCAATGTGCTGTTAGTTAGATTTTTCATAAAGGTTGTGCAAATACAATAATACGCTTGGTTTATGCAGATGTACTGCTAAGATTAGTTGCCCGAATGTTAAGCAAATTTAGAAGACTGAGGGAAAGAGATAGTTTGCAATTCTTTTGATTGTTCATAACATGATTAAGACTGAGGGAAGGATTTCCACAAATATAATTTCCACTGTTCAGTGTCTTCCTTGTTACGTAATATATATGTAGATATATATATATATATATTGTCATGAAAGCTTTACTTTCTTTTTATCCCTCAAGATTCTGAATACTGCCTCTTATTTTGCTGAATGCAGGTTAAGAACAGCAAGCCAGCTAAAAAGGGTCAGGCAAAGCTGACGAAAATGGTCCCTTCTGTTGCAGTAACGGAGGCTGTGCAGGGAATTGTAAAACCAGAACTAACATCCGACTTACATTCAATTAATTTGGAAGATGGAAACATGCTTATGTGGTCAACTAAGGATGTGAAAGATGTTCATCAGTCAGAAAATCAGAGTTCTGGATCTGGAGTGGCTTCAAAAGTCCAAAGCCCTTCAAATAAAGGTTTGCCATTTCTTTAGTTCTCTCTTCCGAACAGCATACAAGCTCAAGTTGAAATGAGAGATAGGAGCTTGTATATCAATGTATGGCAGCTTTGAGGAATGAAATATGTCTACCCTTACCTTTGTCCACTTTTCCATTCTACCTACCCATAATGTACAAAGGATAATAGGCTGAGAAACATCATGAGTGAAATTCAATGTTCTGATTAGCTGTAATTTGGAACCATAATTCAGTAGTTCTTATGTAGTGCAGAGCTCAATGGCGATATGAGCTTAGAAGGTTTAATCTGAGGAGGTTCAAATATCTGGTTGTTTCTCTTATCAGCAATGAGGCCATATGCAGTACCGACGTGAATGAATAACATATCATACATATGTTTACAGTAAATTCAAATCCAACTCTAAAAGCTTAAACAAATACAGACTATTCATGAAAATTATAACTGACTTGGTTTCACTAAATTACAAGCTGAAGATTTATGAGAGGACAGAAATAGGTGTTGAAAATCATATTAAACTATTTTGGTTCCAACATGATTCCAAAATAAGCATTCTGCAAATCTTTTCCTCTTCTAATATTATGCTTCTCCGTGTCCAAACGTTATATGACCCTTTTTTATTCTTAAGACAGTTGATCCATGCCATTGCAATACAATGCTTTTCTTACCTACTTTGAGTGCTGGATGCCAAATGCTAATGTTTCTTTTAAGGATTTTCTATGGCTTTAGTATGCAGTCGTTTGTGACCTTTAGTATTAAATTGTGCAGCACATGATGGTAGCCTTTCAGTGGACATGGTTACATCGAGCAACCAACATATTGTTAACATTGATGCAGATTACAAGGATCCTCAATTGTGTAGCCTCTATGCCCCTGATATCTACAACCATTTACGTGTTGCAGAGGTTTGTGCTGTTTGATGTTATTTAATATGTACAGAAGTTCCTTTCTAGTAGTACCAGTATTTTTGTTTTGCTATACTTTACAGTGTATAATTAATCAGTTAGATACCAGTGCTACTCAGTAATGGACAAGATGATGATGTGTATTGAATTGTCTAGTTTAACAAGCATAACTACCTCAAATCACAATGATGTAGTGCAACTTAAGAGGCATCTGAATATCTGATTTATGATTCCCGATATGTTGTATAATACTATTTTTCAGCCTTCTCTATCCATGACAACATTATTTTGTTTAGAGGAATGTCTAGTGAAGGTTAAAACCGTTTTTCTTCTTCCAGCCTTTTTATTTTTGTGACCGATCAGCCATAAAGAATGTCAGAACCTGTTTCTTTCCATACTGTCCAACAGATGCAAAAGGGACATGACTGGATTCTTATAAAAACTTTAAATAACAAATGACTACTATGTTAGAGGCTGTTGGAAGTGAACATGTTGCATTCAAGTGGCACGGGTTGCAACTACATCTTTAATACCAAAAACATGTATAGCAAATTTCTGTTTCTTATGTCCAAGTCTGATAATTACTCAGATGGACTGCCTTTATTAAGTTGTATCCGGAAGTGAACTTGTATATATCTCATCTTTATAAAGGAACAAAGGATTCTCGTAAAGGATTCCATTTTGAGGCTACTCCTTTTTTGGTCTGTCCAAGATTTTTCTCATATGATGCTGTTGTTCTGGTATGCATACTAGTCTGTCATGAGTTTTTACTAATTAAAAACATAACTCATTGTTTGACAGTGAATGATAATGCAATACTAAGCTACACTGCTATATGGTCGTGCTATTCCTTGTGCAAGCAAAAATAAAAAACCTATTCTTTTTGCACTCATTTTGTTTCCAGCACAGAGAGTGCAATCAGTGCTGGTTCCTACTTCAGGGTTCTAAACTATGAGCTTTCATCTTTCTATCATCTCTTCCTCTGTGTGACAATTGGCTACAAAATTTTGTTTTGACAGCTTGACCGAAGGCCAAATGCTACTTTTATGGAAACGATACAGCAAGATATCACCAAAAGTATGAGAGGGATTTTAATTGATTGGCTTGTAGAGGTTTGCATGGTTCCTTTACCTATTAGTTCTAATTTCATAGTTACATAGCTCATGTATCTGATTAAGTAGGAAAATATAGGTTGTAGTTTATGTAGCTATGTGATGTCCCTTTATATTAGTGAGGATATTCCTGTTGTTTTGTACCATGTAGAATATATTCATATTGGATATTTCAAATTCATCTTTATGGATTGAACTGAGAATTTCAGTCTTCATACAATGCAAGTTAATCTTGGTCAAAACTTTGTATCTTGCTCCGGAATTTGCCCCACATTGTGTCTTTATCAGAATGGGATGAACATATGCTAGTATTATATCAATGGCATTTATGTCACCCTTCCTCTTGATTTATCAAGGATAACCCTAATAGTTGTATAATGAAAAGGAACAAGTTCCCTGTTGCATATACTGCAAGTTTTTGGCTCAATAATTGTCTAATGAAATACTGAAAGGTAACTGAGGACTGTTTTCTAACGGTCTTTTTCAAATTATGGCTGGTTTTTGTCCTCTGATGTAAAGTTAAACATCCCTTACAATGCCTATGATTTCACTTTTAGAATCATGTTATGAAGTGTTCAGAATTAAATGAGAAGGCATGTTTAGACTTATACCTGATATTGCTACCCTGCTTCTAAGATTGTTTTGTCTCTGTTTTATATTGTAATTTTTCTTCACTGATGACTTGCTCAATCACATTTATATACAACTTGCACAATAAGTCTTATATTCTAAAGAAGAGCTGTACATAGTGATGCTTCTTATTTTTCTGTTCAATGATGAAATGCTCTATTGTGCTTTACATAAAATGTGTGAATACTAATAGAAGTAATTTGATCCAAATAATCTTTGGTTTCAGGTGTCAGAGGAATATAAGTTGGTGGCTGATACGCTTTACCTCACAGTCTATCTCATCGATTGGTTTCTCTGTCATAATTACACTGAAAGGACTAGACTTCAATTGCTTGGCATCACTTGCATGCTGATTGCCTCGTAAGCTTTCATACCTATAGTAGGGTTAACTGCATTACTTGATTAGAACTTATGATGTAGAGCCATTAACAGGGTATTTTAGTTGTCAAAACTATGGATTAGGCGGATTCTCTGGTAATAATACAATGATCAAATCACTTAAATCTTGATAATTGTGATTTTATCTGATGCAATGTCTCTGTTATGGGTAAGTCCAGATCTTAGCAGTTGAAAAGATGGAAACATAAATAAGTCCAATATTTTCTGTCGCTGTTTGATGTTGAGAAGTGAATGTACAACGTTGTTGGTTTTCTTTAGATCCTTGGTCACTCAGAAGTCAGAAGGAATTTGTATTGAAATTTCCCAACATGCTTTATCAACGGAATATGCTTGGCGTGGACACATTTGGGCAACAATTGACTTGGCTAGTGCAATTTTGAATAATATTCATTAATATTGTATCACCTTAAATTCCAGATTAGTTTCTTATTGCCTGTTTCCTTTCGATCAAGGACCATTAAATGGGGAAGAAGAAACCTTCACCAAAAGACCACATGATTGTTTTGTATGGACATCATCTGAGTTTACCGACACAATAAGATTAATCTTTAATTGTTGAAGATTTAAAGACTATTAGGATCCGATAAATTTAATTCAGTTATGAATCTCTTGCAAGTGATTGTAGTTAGAAGTTTCAAGGGTTCATTCAAATGCATTTTACAGAACATAGTATCTATCAGAATCTTGTTTAATGTGATTGCTAATGTGGTTCTCTTCCCTGTTTATTATTTTTAAGGAAATATGAAGAAATTTGTGCACCGCGTGTGGAAGAACTTTGTTTCATGACAGACAACACTTACTCGAAAGAGGAGGTATGTGATTACCCGTTTTTATTCCAATAGACTGGTTAGATTACTATGAGTTTAAGTACTGATGAGAAAAATCTTAAGAGTTAGTCCTTTGATTTCTAAAAAGTACATGCTTGCTAGGGGATGCTCCTAAACTAGTATGATGTCTGCCTCTGCACATAAATAGATGAGATGAAAATGAGGAGTTTACGAACTCAAAGAGAGTAATTTCATTTTAAGCGTTCTTTTGTCACCCTGTTATAAATGCAAAGAAGGCAGGATGCCTTTTATTTCCCTGTCATGGGTCTGAAGTTTTATGAAAAAAAAATCTTTAACTGCGCTCCTCTCTCTCTCTCTATACTGAAAACTGGAAACCTGAGGTACTTGTATGTTTATGTTAGTGACATCCTTAAGGTTCTAATTTATTCTCGCCTGTTAAAATTCTTTTTATTGCCTTCCTGAATAAATAAAAATGGCAGGTATTGAAAATGGAGAGTCAAGTATTGAAGTATTTTGGCTTTCAACTTTTTGCACCAACAACTAAAACTTTCCTCAGGTACATCTGCCATATGGTATCAGTTTCCTTTATTGATAGTTTCAATATGCTATTGAATATTGCTAATGCGCATTCATTTTCAGGAGATTTCTTCGAGCAGCACAAGCTTCTTATAAGGTAACTTCATTAGTTAAAGTTTCTTTTGGCCTTGGTTTGCAGATACTATGCTCTTTTTGTTTTGACCTCCGGTTTGAAGAACGACTTACATATGTAATAACAAAATTTTTGCAGACTCCTAGCCTTGAACTGGAGTACTTGGCCAATTATCTTGCTGAACTAACTTTGGTTGACTATAGCTTCTTGAATTTCCTTCCTTCCGTCATTGCTGCATCAGCTGTTTTTCTTTCCAAATGGAGCTTAGATCAGTCCAGCCATCCATGGGTTTGTCTTTTCTTCCTTGGCGTTTCACTATTTTCTTCTGCATGTTGATTATATACTGGAAATATGACTTCAGTTGTAACTCTAACAGAGTCCAATACTAGAACACTATACCCGTTACACGCCATTGGATTTGAAGATCGCGGTTCTTGCTCTGCAAGATTTACAGTTGAACACCAATGGTTGTCCTCTGAGTGCTGTACGCATGAAGTATAGGCACCAAAAGGTATCAAAGAGCAAGAGTATAAAGAAACTGCTGTTTACTGTAAACCTTTCTAAAATCGGTAGAATTTTTTCATTATACCACAACTGGAACACTATGTGAATTTTCTATTAATGAGGTGGTTTTCGTTGTGGCAGTTTAAATCCGTAGCGGGTTTGTCATCCCCAAAACTCCTTGAAACACTATTTTGAAGATGATTTCAAGTGACAGCTAACAGAGACTGAGACATGTACACTTTCCGGACAGAAGTTACCTCTGGATTTTGTCAATCACCACTCCATGAGGTTGTACTTGATGTGCCACCTTAATCCTGTCTCCATTCCATTTATATTCATTTTGTCCAATTTCTTAATTCTTGTTTATAGATTTTCTGACCTGGTTTTGTGCTTGATCCAACCTGTGTCTTTGTAAAATTGACCTAGGGATGTCTGGCCACTTAAGTATTAAACTTGGTTACATGAATTGTTAATAGTCATTATGTTCAGTTTAAACTAGCTCTTAATCAGGCCCTGACCACAATTTAATTAAGTTGTAATGAGTGAAATGTAACTTTTTCCAGGCAAAGCTTTTAATCTAATGAATCAGATTTATTTGCAGTTGTCTTGTGATTGTGGCTCATTACTCTTCTTATGATGAACTTTTAAGTTTCTTCTCGTTTTCCATTGCCCTTTTCCCCCCTTAATTAGTGCTCCTTGCAAACAAACAAAAAAAAAAAAAATAACTAGCTCCTTACAGATTTGTGAGATAGCTTCTTCGAAACATGCTTAAGCTTCGCCTTAGAGTGATGAACGGTACTACGTGAAATGACATAACCACCCAAATCAGGCCTCCATGAAGTACTCAACCTTCCGCTATAAGAACATGAGCTGAACAAAAACATTGCGAGTAGCCTGCAACCAAGAGACATCACTAAAGTCGCAGATGACCAAACTAGATCAAGGTTTCATTTCGAAAATCTGTAATAATAAGGTTGCCAAATGTTGGGTTTCTGAATATATGATATCCATTTAGGTCGAAACCTACCCTTTTGGTCTTTTAAACAATTATTAAATTACAAAGCGCTTGTAGCTCAAATTGTTAAAAAATATTTATCTTTGCAACTAAAGTTCTAAGTTCGATTTCCCCTTTTTAAATCTCGATTGTATAACAAAACTACCGAAAAAAAAACCTACTACTCTTATTCATTTTTGGATTTCCTAAGGAATTCTTTACATTTTGCATGTCTTTGATTTGAAAGTTAAGAGATTTTTCTGTTTTTTTTGAAAACTTGGGCTTTTTTCAAAAGTAAAAATTTTTGTGTGACTAAAACCTAAATTTACTTTAAATTTATCCATTTGTCACCCTGCAGGTAATAAAATATTAATTTTGAAGTGGTGGATGTATACAATTTTTGCTTTTTCATATATCCACTACAAAAGAATTGGATTTTACGACCCAAAAAAGAGAGAAAACAGTGATAAGTATGGGTAGTTTAGTACTTTCCAACAAACAAGATTTTGTGTATCGTTACCCTCGTTACCGCATACAGAACTACCATGACCATTGGTTATATCTCCTGCACAGCTTTGGGAAAACATCATCAACAGAGATAGCGAGAGAGATGAAAATGGCGGCCTTGAATATCTTATCTCAGCCATGGCCACCTACGCCCTCTCTCTCTGTTTCTAATTGTTATTATTCTTTCTGTAATACTAGTAAGTCCAATAGTAGTAATAAATCACATTCTTTGTCTCATTCTTATCACTTCTCTCTCCTCTCTTCTCTCTATGGATCAACTAGACCATACCCATCATCTAAGCTCTCTGCAATGCCTACCCATTTCTCAAAGTCTGGTAATTTTTCTATTTCCAGATATAATTTCATTTACTTCTCCATTTGCTTTGCTTGCTACTCAATGTGAATTTGATTCTTGTTACATACATTTATCCTGCATTCGATAATTGCTCAGGAAGAGTAAGAATCTGATCAAAATAGAAAGCAAAATGGAAAAAAAAAAGAATGGGAAGTTTGGAGATTTATTAAAGTCTCATGCTTTGTCCCTCATGGGATAGCTGAATGGTTTAAAGGGTCCAATTTTCCCATGCCAGACCCGGTTCAAGCTGCAGTACGTAGTTGTTCTTGGGTAATTTTAGGAAAAAATAAAAGTATTATGATTTTAAGGGTTCATAAGAAAACGGGACAAAAACATTGTAGAAAGTTAAGATAGATTCTTGCAATATGCATATATTCTTCAGCTTTTAGTGCCAGAAGTACTGGTTAACATGTATAAAGTTATTTAGATGCAATGTTGAATACTTCTGGTTAAATGGCATCAATGGAGTACTCAATAGGATAAGTCCTGACACTTGAGTATCCTAAGAGCAGGCCGTAGATATCATGAAACTGGAGCAACAATTTTGAGCCCTTGTCAATGAAGTTTTGAAATATCAAAGTCCACATTGTTGCGGTATCTTCGGAATAAAAACTGTATTTACTGGAAGCAAATTAGCATGCAATCCATACACTACTGAAAAGCAACTGTTCTCTTTTTGGAGGTTCGTACATAAGATATTGGCATTTTAGGGAAGAGTGTTTGATTGGTCACAATTTACTAAAGCCGTATGGATGGATTCCTTCAATTCTTTAGAGCTGTGAGCTTATTTGTCCTTTCTCTTAGGGAGCTTGTTTAACTAATTGCAGTTGGACATTTGTAATGTCTCCTCATCTCTCCATTTTTGGGGTCTAGCCTTCTTATTAAAAAATTTATGCATCTTCCATTGGTTGAAAGCTGGTCCTCTTCCTCACAAATCCCATCTCTTTCATGGGTTGAACCGATAACTTGCTCTTGTGAAAAAGGAGAGGAACCACTTTGTTTGAAAGTACTGGTCAACTAACAGAAATTTACAACTAAGGCTTATACCTCAGTTACTTGAGGTGGATCAACTTAGCTGCTTTTTTTCGCCTTGTAGGACATCATTTCTTTCCTCATGACCCCTGCCTGTGTTATTTACTATTGTGCTTTCTTTATGCTTACTCAGATACAAGTACAATCTTCTTATTAAGGCTAAATATCGCTTCTTATTAGAGCTAAATATCTTCTCCTATCCACTTTCTAGCTTATTGATCGCCTGTATGTTGAATAACTGATTTGGAAACTTAACTAACCTTACTGCAGTTTTAGGGCTTAGAATTTTTACATTTATGTCTTGCACTATCTTTAGTTATATTCTGAATCTATTTCCATGGGGAATCTTTTCCTTTAACTTAACAAAAATAGAAGGAAAAAGCCCTTTTGTTCATTGGTGATCATATAGAATACGGATATAGGTTCGCAGATATATATACCATGCAAAATATTTTTAATATATAGTAATGGGTGAAGCTGAATAGTCTGAATATGGTCTATATCGTGGCTGCAATTGGAAGTTGATCACAGCAAGACTGTTCTTCACCTCTTTTCTCTTTCAGGGATTCTTCTTGCAGGCAGTGGATGTTCCTGGATGCAAGACAATTCTATGCGTCACAACAATGCTGCCGGCAGTGAATGTGGGCAGGGCCAATTGTATTCTGTGTTTCCTACACAGCCTGCAGAAGTTTCTTCTGTGCAGGACCTTTTTAGCTTTATATGCTCAGGTCCATTGATAAACAAATTGGGTCTGACCCCAGAAGCAGTGGCTGAGTGCATTGACAAATGGTTGTCCTATGGGTTGCACCTCTGTCGGCTGTTTCAGCTCAATGAATTGTATCTGACGGAGCCTCAAAAAGTTAGGCTTTATCACTACTATATTCCGGTATTTTTTTGGTGTGATGATCAGATTTCTCAGCACAGATCCTTGTACAAAGATGGAGAAGATATACCTCCTCTAGTGGTACATCATTTCTACTCCAATTATCCCCTCTTTTTTTGTACTCTTAAGTTTCTGTATTGGGTTGAATTCTATTGGCATTTGAAAAGGTATATCTGTCTCCAGAAATGATTGCCTCTATGAAGAGCGATTGGTGCCATTGTTTATTTTTAGTTTTTGTTTCGTCTTATGGTGCTGATTTTTGGTCTGTGATGCAGATTGGTTTTAGTGCACCACAAGGTTGTGGAAAGACTACACTTGTGTTTGCTCTTAATTATCTATTCCAAATTACGGGCCGGTAAGCTATGAGAAACTGATACTCTAGATGATTCATAGAAAGATAACGGGATTTGGTATTGCTGACAATATGTTAAAATATCAGGAAGTCTGCCTCAATATCCATTGATGACTTTTATTTGACGGCAGAGGGTCAGGTATTTTTTAGGAAATTTGTGGCACATTTTTCTTTAATTTTTTTTTTGTCTGATGCGATATTGTATTATTTGTAGGCCAAACTACGAGAAGCAAATCCAGGAAATGCACTTTTAGAGGTAGCGATCAACATATGTTCCAAGTAATTCAACTTAAGACAGTAAACAAGTTGATTGTAACCCATTAGAAACTGAACATGCTTTCTGATGCAGGACGCATATGACCTAAATTTATTAGTTTCCTAATGTATTTGTTAGTTTCCTAGATTCTCTAGTTTTCCCAATTCTAGTAGGATTTCTACTTTTCCAGATTTCCAGATTTTATAGTTTTAAGTTTTCTATTTTATTTGGGTTAGGATTTCTGTTTACGCAAGGGATTTTTATCATGTTATGTCTAGGTTTTAGTTTTCTATAAATAACCCCATGTAGTTCTTTAAAATTCAGATTTGAATGTTGAGTAAACCTTTTCCTAGAACTCTCTGATTTCGTCCCTTCGATCTATATTTCTTCTCCTCGATCTCCGATATTCTTCTTTGTTCTACTGTTTCTGTCCTTTATCTTGTCTTTTCGATCTCTATTTCTTCTCCTCGGTCTCTTATATTCTTCTATGTTCTATTGTTAATTGCTTAATCTAACACCTACGGGCTGTACTACATCACTTTCTTATCAATAACACTGTCTATTCTTTTATTTCTCGTGGCTTGTAGTTACGTGGAAATGCAGGGAGTCATGATCTTACATTCTCTGTTGAAACCCTGTCTGATCTAAGCAAATTGAGTAAAGAAGGTGATTCTCCTTCATTCATTTTCCTCTGCTATAAATGCATGCCTGTTTCATAACTATCCACATCTAAATTGTTCAGGTATGAAGATGAAGCTTCCCCGATATGATAAGGTGCACAACAGTGAAATTTTGCTTTTCTTATTATTATTATTTTTTCCATCAACCAGTTTTTAGCTCAAAGTGGCTCTTTATAACTTGTTTCATGTTGCAGTCTGCTTACAATGGAAAGGGTGACAGGGCTGATCCGTCAACATGGCCAGAAGTTGAAGGGCCACTTACAGTAAGTCTGTAAGAGGATTTTCTGTAATGTCTGGCAATCAGTGGGCTTAGGTTGATGCAAATTGGGGGGCTGATACTGTATGGCCCATGTAGCAACCTGATTATATGAAGATAGATGTTTGAACATATCAAGAATCAAGATCTCACAAATGCTATGTTGAAGTGTTTTTTAGAAGTAATAATAGGGTTTGGATGTGAAATCAATAGGTCAAACCCAAAGGTAATTAGTTAGGTGGTTTCAGTAAGCTTTGTACAAAATTCTGGAAAGAGTATTTCACCTCGCAATTTCTGTGTTTTGGCTGGTTATGCAGGTTGTTCTATTTGAAGGTTGGATGCTTGGTTTCAAACCCCTTCCTGTGGAAGTTGTCAAAGCAGTTGATCCGCAGGTTAGAGGACTGGAAATATATTGTGGGACTTTGTTGATATTACTTGCGCCCAGTACAAATTCATTAATTATTTTAGTTCTATTACAGACAGTTACAGTTCTAATGTGAATTTTTCATTAAACAGCTGGAGACAGTAAATAAAATCTTGAAGCTTATTATGATGCATGGTATAAGTTCATCAAAGCATGGATAATTATCAAGATCAAGGATCCGAGCTGTGTGTACCAGTGGCGTTTGCAGGTGGGGTTTCATGTTTACATCTCGTGCAACCAAAATGCAGTGTTTCTCTTTTTAAGTACTTTTTCTCATTGTCATTGCTTAATTAACAAGTGTTTCCCTGAACTTGCAGGCAGAGATTGCCATGAGAGAGGCAGGGAACCCTGGAATGTCTGATGACGAGGTTGCTAGTCTATCTATATTTGTATCTTATAAACTGCCTGCTGAACCTGCAGTAGGTTCCATAACCTGAAACTGATGCTTTTTGAGAGCTTGTTTTGCAGGTAAAAGATTTTGTTTCACGGTACTTGCCAGCATACAATGCTTACCTTCCCACCCTTTACTCGGAAGGACCAGAAGGGTCGGACCCAAAGCGCCTCATCCTCATAGAAATTGATGAGGGAAGGAACCCTATCCTTGGAAACTAGGTGACTATGAGCCATTAAAGTCCAATTTTGATATATTGGAGATGTCATTTGCTTGTTAGAGAAGCATCATGTAATGGGGAAAAATGTCAATGTAAAAATGTAATGTGAAGTGTAACTTTACTCGAATGAAAAGAATCATATTTTATGATTCACATAATAACTCATGATTTTCCTCATACAATCAATAGCACATATATTGAAGTATAGAGATCTAAGGGCAGCAACAGCAGACGCCGTTTAAGCAAGGTTCACAAGTCTTATAGCAGCAACAGCAGCAGAAAAATGCAAACAAACTGCAACATAAAATGCAATCCAATCATAAGTAATGCATAAGATGAAGATTATGGAGGAAATTGGAAGTGAAGATTAATGATAAACAAACCAAGAATAGAAGGAGCCTTTCTCCTCCTTGCGCTTCTGGACCTGATCACAGCATGACATCCTTTGTGTAGGTGGTGCACCAGCCATTGTTTTTCTTCGATAAGAAGCTGTAGAAGAACATTTCAAAGGAACCACGAATTGGTATATATATATAGGCAGCAAAGGAAAAAAAGATGGCCTTTGCTTAAAGCTAATACAGTTTTCTCACTGCCAAATTTATTATGGTTGTTAGTAGAGCATAGAAATGGATGAAAGCTTCTTTGTCTTGGCTCTCTTTGATGACCCATGATAATGAATTTTTGCAATTGAATCTCCATCTCTCAACCAATCACATAATGGTCCTCCAGCCATGAGAAAAAACTTCTGCCACCTGCTGCCACATGGAAGCTTTAAATGTGCAATTAGAGCAGAAATATGTAACTATCTGTATCCAACATTTTTTTCTTTTTTCTTTATAGAGCACTGCATGATGAGTGATAGGTCTCATGAGTCTCATGACCCATTCAGTGGCTCCTCATTTTGCAAAACATAAAATCATTTATTTCTTTCTTTTTTTTTTTTTTTTTTTTTTTTTTTTTTTTTTTTTTTTTTTTTCCTTTTTTTTTTTTTTTCTTTTATACTTGGTTCTCCCCCCCCCCCCTCTTTTTATAAAAAAAATAAAAAAAAACAAATCATAGTTTGACAAATATAAAATAATAAAAATCTAAAAAAAAAAATTAAGAAAAAATATCAAACTGACATTAGCAGGAATGTAGGAGTTCCTACTTATGGAAAAGGAGGGAAGTATTTCCCTTTTTTTCCTCAGTGAATTGCAGATGTCCTGTACTTTTCCTGAAAGGCATCTGTGCTTGGGATATTGCTTGCATGTTGCGATTTCTTTCATCTTACAGAAGCAGCTTGGTAATGAAATCTAGTAAAGCATTTTGACTTTGCTGCTTTGTGGAACAAAATCTTGTGGTGCGTAGAGTGAAAAAATGATGCTCTGGGAAACAGATTGGGTTATGAAGGATAAAAATTGGGCTTTTTTTTGGGTTTACAAGTAAGCCAATGGGTCTCTATTCTGCCCATTTTGCCTCAAGATTTTGGGAATTCAAATCTAATTATATCCCAGTTGTCAAACCGATGGATATGAGATACGACCTCTAATTGTTGATTGTATCTAGATGTTTTTTCTACATTTACAAAAAAAAAAAAAAAAAAAAAAATAAATAAAACAAAAAAAAAAAAAAAAAAAAGGAAGTAAGGAAGAATAATATAATGGCATCTGAAAGCAATATCAAAACTGAATATGCAGAAAGAGAAAATTTGTCTTACCATACATCAAAACTTACTGTGTATATCTAAGTATGGAATCCAAGAAAAAACTGTGATGAACCCAAAAATGGGGAGAAAAAGCCTACAACATCAAGTGCATTCAATACCAAAATGGAAAAATGCAACTTATAGAGAATCATAGATCGATCTCTTATTCTTGTCAACTTTTCTATCTAATCAAAACCCCCCAACCAACAAGAAAAAGCCTCTGTACATGCATATATTTTTTTCATTCATTCATTCAGTCTCTTTATCATATGTAGAAGGCATGTCTTTCAACTCGTGCTTGTGGATTTTGGAGGTGTCCTTGGAGCTAATCCAACTGCCTCAGAGCTTTTCATCAACCGGAGCCGCTTGCATGATTCCACAAACATTCTGTTCAAAGACAAAAAGGAAAAGATTGATGTTAAGTAAATATGCACGATCTAGTAAAACAAAGAAAAATTAAAATCCCCAGGCATATACATTTGGCCGAAAATTTTCGCATACAATCTGTTGTCAGATTATGAATAAGAACCATTAACGTTTGGGTGTGCGGTCTTAATTCACAGTCTAATAACATTGCGGGGAGACATGGTTAGGATTTATTTGAAATCTTACTTCCATGGTACATCTCCTACAAGCATCCAATCCCCATCTCTGTCCTCATAAGTTGGTACATACTCCACTCCATTTGCAGGGTCCATGAGCTTTCTCTCATTCAAATAATTACCTGCATCAACAGTAAACATCAACCATTAACTCCTGACATGAAAATTATGACATAGGTTTTTAACTTTTACAAAGAAGATCAAATCTAGAAGAGATATGATGAGATAAGATACATACGGATGGTCAAGAAGGAGAACATGTCCTCAAGAGCACCCAACAGCTGCTGATAGCTATTGTACATCTCAAGATCCACTTTGCGCAGATATGGAGCTCCATCTACTGCCACTTTCACGTACTTGCAAGTCTTCATCAAGTTCTTCCTTGCCACTCTCACTGGCGGCCACCCCACCACTTGTGACCTGAAATATTCACACAGAACTTCCATCAAACACATTGTAAACTTAAAAATCAAAGAAAACCCATTTCAGTTTTCTCGTAATTGTACCCAAAAAAAAATGAGGACCATGAAAACTAAGGAAACCCCACTTCAAATTTCATATAATTTTACTAAAAAATAAAAAAAAACATGTTGACCATCAAACTTCAGTTTTCATATAATTATAATTTCATATAATTTCATCAAACACATTGTAAACTCAAAGGTTAAAGAAAACCCATTTCAATTCTCACTTAGTTTAGCAAAATTAAAATAAATAAAAAATCATGTGGGCAGTCTTACTTTGCTGCTGGAGGCTTATGAGTTTTGGCCCCATCACCATCAGCACAATCTTGATCACAACATTCAACCCCTGATCTTGACGACGATGAGCTTGAGCTCCCAAGACTAAGATCAATGGTCTCTGAAAATCCACGCTTAGACCCCGAGCCAGGCAACCCCAAGGTCAACTTGGTATCGTCGTAGTTCAAGCCGGCCGGCGTCTGCTGCTCATTTTCCGGTGACATGTTTCGAATGCTTTGCATTGCTTTGCTTGGAAATTTGATGGACCAACAACTTTAGCCGACTCTCCGTGCATTGCAGCTTATATATAATGTTGAGGGGGGGAGAATGTGGCCGGCAAAATGATTCGGCCAGTGGGTAGATGACACGTGGCTCGGAAAGAGCGGCTGTGATTCGTCCATGTTGGTGGTAGTAGTGTGTGACGGAAGCGTGTGGGTTGTGATTTCTATGCTTGAATGAAGCTGAAAGCTTTGGGGCCCCCCTGTCGGTCCAATTCCGACCTGGTCAATTTTTATTATTTATTATTTATTGTTTAGTTTATTTTATTTATTTTTTAATACTGCTAATTCGTATAATATACAATACCAATGGCTACTAAGCAGTATAAATGTGTAACCGGCGGTAAATAATTCATAGTAAAATATTTGTTTTGCTAGAGTTTAAAGCTTGTTTGAGAGTGATTCTGAATATGTCCGAATCGTTTCTTGCGAGAATCATCTCCCATGCAATTCTCCATATAATTACTTTAAGATTTTAAGTGATTCTGAGAATAAGTACCACTTATATGCTTCTCCATAAAATCATTTAGAATCACTTGAAGTGATTATTTAGAGAAGTGATTCTCCATAGAAACGCTTTTTGTTCTATTTAATATATATGCGCTTAGTAGTTTAATAAGCTATTTTTGTCATATAATGTAAGTTAGTGACAAGAAAGAAAAACCAAGCAACCTACTTAAAATTAAGATTGGCTTTACAAAGTCTCTCTTGTGTGTGTAGATTGGAATTAAAAAAAAATTAATAAAATGCTTGGTTTTTTTTCTTTATTTTCAATCAAAGAGACACTTGTGTATGACTTATTGCTTTTGGCTGCTAATAAAGGTATTCGTCAATTTTCGGTGGAAGGGGGGATTCCAAACTGGGGGCTTGTTCCATGGTCGACACATCAAATTTATTTGTTAACGTTTTAATGTTGTGCAGTTTCGATATATTTTTAGTAGATTTGTGTCATCCTAGTTCTAGTTGTCATGTTTTGGATCACGCTTTCCTTGCTTGTGCAGTACCTGCTTTTAATAATATAAAAGGCAGTGCAAACAAGTGTTACATCAAAATATTAAACGGTGGGTGAACGCCTAAACGAACAAGGAAATAAAAAAGTTTAAGAAAAAATTGGCTATTCTCACTACCAGCGTCAAGGCGTACTCACAATCAATCTATCGATTGATCCGCAAATTCTTGCTCGTTTCTAATTAAAAGTTTCTAAAATAAAAGCTAAAAATAATATTTTCTAAATAAGTAGAAAATCACATAAAACTATATAAATATGGAATCATTGGTTTGATATTGGTTACAATTCATTTGATCGATTCTTTTAATTTTGGCCGGTGCTTTGCAAACATTCCCATGCATTGAAATTCCTATAAAATTTCAAATTCAAAAGGCTTCCAATATTTTATTATTTATATTTTTGTTTTTTCTAATTAGCTTAGACACGAAATATTTTTGCAGCTCAAAAGAAATCTCTCCGCTCCTTCCTCTGTAGAACACAAACAAGACCTACTGATCCACTAGAAGATGAAGGAAGCCGTGAACAGAGAGGAAAGGCAAGCCATCAATGCCCGCGTGGGGCCAAGCAGGACCCACATGCCGTGGTTCTTGTCTACAGGTCAACTTTATGCAACTTTCCATGTGGGGCCCCAAAATGACTTGAACTCGAGAGTTTAGAGCTCTGGGACCCACCTAACATTTTTCATGTGAACGTGTTTGCTTGTCGATAGCCGACACGTGTGCAGTTCCACAGGTTTCCGCCCGCGGTTTACAGTTGATATTCGGTTTGCTCAGACCGGGATCTCCGGGCCTCCTGTCTGGCCTTCCCCTTCTGGTATCATCCATTTATTTATTCATTTTATTTCAAATAATAAAGAAATTGCCCAACTGTTTGACTTGCACTTAATATTTCCACTAAGAATTTTATTTAATAAAAACTACCAACCTAATATTTAAATCAACAACCACCTATATTCATTCTTTTTAAAACCACAACCGTAGTTACCCATTTGTAAAATGACTTCTATAAATTTAGGGATTGAGGTCATAACCCACCTATTCTACCGTTTGACCCAAAAAAAAACAAAAAACCTCTAAAAGGTCCATAAAATCAAAATATTAGACTAAAATATATATCCAGTCCGTCAAACACAACTTGATTCTCTCTATACCTCAATTACTAATAATTAGCAAAGAGAATTTGCTTGAATGAATACTTAAAGAGTATTTTAGGAATAATGGTGGGTGGAAAGAGATGATTGTGTTTTTTCAAATTTACATGGTGGGTGAGAAGATAAGTTGGGTAGCTAAATAGGACGGGGGTGGAAATAGCGTCACTCTAATTATATAGTCAATATCTTATGGTATTACAATATTCATGTCTCATGAAATTTGTTTTGTTAGATCGATAATTTGTTGCTGAGCATCTCGTTTTCTAATATGAATTAATGTTGAAGATATTTGACAGTCTAATCATTAAATCTTGTATGGAGTATCATACCCGCTACAAGAATTTTTTTGTTGAAAAAAATCAACGAGTAGCAGAATTTGAAAAAATAATGCAGAATACTATACAATTGCAGTCGACCAAATGATGAAAGGGAGAAAAAGAAGAAGAAAGTGCATGCCTAAAGAAGTTCTCTCGTTATAGTGGGGCATCTCAACTTGTCTATCCAATTTGATTTTTCCAGAGAAACCCATCTGTATTGAATTGTCTTTGTTGAAACGGAGCCAGCAAAGTCGAAAGTTCATGTCCCCAAGTAGAAGGTAGGCAGCAGATGTAGCAAGAGATACCACTTAGTGGACCCCTATTTCTTATTATGAAAATTTTGATTTTCATGCTCTCCATGATAGCAATACCTCATTCACATGGAGCTTCTTTGAAACAGCTAGATAGCTTCTTTATGTGGTTAGCCAAAGGGGCAAACACGTATGTGGTAGGGCATACATCAATTGGTATATGTACATATATGCCTTGTCATCATGAAAATTAGGTATTATCTATTCTATATATATATATATATTAATGAAAAAGGGTTTTGTGAAAATATTAACTCTTCTGTGAATGGAAAGACTAGTGTACATAAAATACATTTGGAAGCTGACAAAGAAAAAAGCCACTAATCTCATATGTTTCACCATCAATGGGGTGTTAATTAGTTGAATTGGCCCATATTTTTAGTGTGTTCCCAAGTGGTTTCGTGTGTATGAGTTTTCTCCCCTCCCCCTTTCTAATTTGGCCAAAAAAACAAAAACAAAAACAAAAACAATCTCATATGTTTCACCCAATACTAGAACTTTCTTAATTTTTATAAGACAGATTCTTTCGCAAGGAATTGGTAATTTCCTATCATTCCCAAGAATCCAAAGTTGGGTGGTTCAAAATTCTTCCATCCCCATTAGATGACAATTTAGCCCCTGTAAAATTATGATATTTACAATATGTTGACTGAGAAGATACCCCAATACGACGTTCTTCAGAATCTAACTCAGTGAGAAGAACTGAAATGAGGTGATCAGAGTTTAGAATTGATATTAGTTTACAAATTAAGAATTTGGGAATAAGGAATTGGAATCAGATCAACTACGGTATTTGATTATAGATTTTACCACGGAATTCTCATAATTTTTTTATTTTATTTCATATGTGTAAGTAAACGTAGGAGAAGTAAAGAATTAGAATCATTTTATTAATAACCATGTGTTAGTAAACACATGAGAAAAAAGGAACATGAATGATTCTGATACCTATTACTGATAAGTAAACATGCCATAAATTTTGGACCTTATGTAATGTACCAAATCATACTCTTTGTTTTGAGTCATCTAAGGCTAAATTCGAGGAAGGCAGATTTGTAGAGTTAGAAGTCAGAAAAATTCATGCATAATCTGCAAAATTTGCTTAGGATCATGGGGGGTTGATTAAATTTTTCGAATGAAGATAAATTAAGATAGGGGGGCAACTTGACCCAAAACAATGTTATGGATCTCATTGATAATATCTAAATTAAGATTAAATGTTGGATTTATATTATAAATAGTAAATGCTACATATGCACCAAACTATCGGGACATGTGTGAATGCAGATGAGACCAAAAAGATTCTGTACCTGGAATTATGCTATGCACTAATCATGTGCCTAAGAATCACACAATTAATGTATATGCATGCAAAGAATATGAGAACATGACTTTTTTTCTCTAGAAGTTCTCCACTTGTTAATTTTCTTTGTAGTTTAAAGTCAAGAGATGAGAAAATTTGATGTTTAGCATGTCTCCTAGATTTAGCTGACAAGTTTGTTGATTTCGTTAAAGTACTGTATTAAATTCAAATTCCTGATGATATAGCGCACTAGTGTGTGTGGAACATAACAAGGGAAGAAGCAAATGAAATAGGCAAAATTGTACTATAACAACCTAGGTGGCATGTTGCCTACCCATTTGCCTCATGAAAAAAGTTGGTCACTTTAAGAGACTAGACAATGCAAGTCTACAAACCATTATTATAGTATTTATTTTTATCTCGTACATTCATTATTATATTTTATAGAAAGTAAGTGAGAGAGTGGAGATGATATTTTATTATAAAAAGCAAGTGGGGCCCAATATATCTCTTCACTTTGAAGTAGGCAATATTGCCTTGTTTGAGAGAGTAAATATATTTTGCCTATCCATTTGCCTCTTCCCTTGGAGAATGAAAATGCTGATGTGGCAAGGCAAATGAGGTTTACCTACTCTTTTGCCTCTTCCCTTAGAGATGCTCTAACTAAACCAAATGTTAATTGGTTCATAGCTAGCTTAAATACTTCTATTTATAAGTATTTTAAAATAATTTTTATTATTTTATCAAGGGAAAATAGGGATTCTTTCATTATGTTTCACTCTTTAATATAGATTTTAACTTATTGGCCAACTTGCTTAACCCACGCCTACGAACTTAAGCACATTGTTTGATTAAGTACAAGGGTGCTTCTATTTGAACCCTCATTTTCTTTTATTTTTTATTTTGGCAAGACCCTCATTTTCTTTGATAAATTGATCAAGTTCTATTTAGCCTCTGAAAGCACTTCCAACGGGAAGCCCCAACCCTAGCAAGAGCCCCCCACTAAAGGCAAGACTTGATTGGGCAAGCAGGCCTAATGCTAACATCATCAGCCAATTCAAATAAATAACAAAAAAAAATTGAAAAAAAAAAGGAAAAAATACCAAAAATTTCAGAATTTTTATATATAATAAATACCTAGCCATATTCTTCACTTCCCACACCAAAATTCTATACAAATTCTTCTCCTCATATCTCATGTCAATAGTGGTTATCCTTGGGTTGCTATGGCAATGAGTGGAAAACCAATGCAAGAGCAAGCACTATTCACATGAATAGTAACAGCCATTGCCTCCTCTTGCCTTTTACCATGACAAATAGATGGAAATGCTCTAAAATTAGGCTGAAAAAGTCTCTCTTTGGGGGATAATGGATTTACTTTAATGCCGTTCACAAAAACCACCAGCCATTCTAAACCATGTAAAAAGTGATTAACTTTACCCTTAATTTCAAATGAATAATACAACAGCAGTGCGCAGTTACATCATTTTTCTTGTTCCCTTGCCTTCCTTTTCAAACGAATAACCCTACCGCAGAAGACACTTTGGTCCACCCCTTTTTGATTTCACAAGTCTCATCAGAGTTGTGATTAACAGACAATGTAGTCAAAATCTGCGGTATATGGTCATTACTGGGGGTGACAATTTCCAACATAACCCGTTAAACGACTCGAAATCTGCACAGAAAATTAGATGATTAATCCGCACAATTAAAATTGTGAGTCAAATTCAAGTTAATAAATTCAGATCAAATTCGAATCAACCCATCATGACATATTTAATAAACAATTGGGTTTTCAGTCAAACCCGCCAACCCACAAAATGACCTACTTAACCCGTTTATTGTTTAATTTTAAATTATTATTATTATTAATAAATATGTGACGTGCATATATTGATCTGTTCTATTCTATTCCACCGTGAACCCTACTAAGGTAGTGGATTTAAACCCACCCAAATGAAAATTCTACCCAACTTTTTAACTTATTTTTTTTTTTGAATAGCCAATGAGATCTAGTCCAGTGGAAAATGCTCTTAACTTGCATATTAGTAATTTCAGGTTTAAACCCCCATAACACCGTAATGGTAGCGTGTGTGAGAAACCCCTTCTCTTGTTATTTAGACTATCGATTGTACTAAAAAAGGGTTTTGATTAGGTTTTGTGTAAACAGATTACTTGTTAAACATGTGACATGTTCAATAATTTGTTAAACAGGTTACCTATTTTGGACCTAACCTAAAACGACTCCAACCCGACGATACGACTCATTGCCACTCCCTAGTCATGTTTAATTACTAATGAAAGTAATTAAATGATCAACAATAAAGAAGGGATATGTTTGGTTTTAGACTCGATTCATTAGCATATGGGCCTGTTCTGTGCTGCTCATAGGTAAACTCGTGATATATTAATAAGAAAGGTAATTGTGTGCTCGTTACTACATGGGAGGTGGAATCTATGTACTATAGATGTTGTGGATTCCTATGTTGTTAAGCTTGGACGGTTAATTACTTGTGTTAGAATAGTTGGGCTTTTCTTTGATGGATGGGAACCTAACTTAACATATATATATAGCATAGTTGTATCTCAGGTTCGTATCGGAGGTTGTATATGGATTCTTGAAAGGAAGGAACAGAGAAAAGTTTAGGTGCTTAACATTAACATATTTGAGCGAGAACTAGAATTCATCATTAAACTGGAGCACCAAGAAACTAGTAAAAAAATACAATGGAATGAACTGTCGTTTTAAACACATATATGAAGGAAATGATGAAGGTGGAGGAAAATGATCTCCCCTTAATTTCTAGTGCCTTAAACCAATCTTAACATCTCAAAGTTTCACGTTTGTATTTAAAACAAGAGCTTTCTGCTTAAAGCCAGCAATTAACTACTGATTATATGAAGAAAGAAAAAAAAAAAGCATACATATCATGACATGAGGAAATCAAATGCAGTCAAATCGATCTCCATTTTTGACTTCTTCTGGGAAGAGATTATATAGGATCATCTTTCATAGTTGCCTTGAGGAAGCCCTTGGGCTGCAGTCCAAATCCCTTGGCATCCGATCTCTTCATGATCCTCAGCCTCTTGCATGACTCAGTAAACATCCTGCAAATGACAAATATAAGTTATTGGATTATTTACTTCAATTTTTTTGTTTTGGTTTATACCAATTTGATATAATTCAAATAAGATCCTCTAATTCAAAATCGATTAGTTATGGGTGGAGAGATCCAGGGCTGTAGGTAAATACATATGTATATATGATGAATTATCATGATGCTACAAACAAAATGAATGATGTTATAGACTAGTCTCATGATCATGATGTGAGTTCCGCGTGACCCTATAATATCACGAGCCTTAATTTTGTGAAAGGTGTTAAAAGTTAAGGAAACTATTGAGATCTAAATCATTTTTTATTTATATTTAAGTAACAATAAACACTTTCACGACTTTTTGTTGTTGTTGGAGCAAATGCTACAACTTATAAGAGTACAAAAGATAACAAAGACACTATCCGAAACCCAAATGTGAGTGGCAGGGACACTTCCACGACTTACTCATTCATGATCAAGTACAAGATCTTAAGATAAACTATGAACAGTCATATCATATAATTATATATAAACTACATATCCTTCATATGTTTTTTTTTCCTTTTTATTTTCTCCAATTGGTATGTGGTACAATTTTTCGACTTTGGAAATGTGGTAAAATAAAAGTACCTTTTATTCTCTCCTCAAAATAATGCACTGCCATGACTATGCGGTATGGTGTCAAAGGACATTTTGGTATTATTGTCCCCGACATCATTATATGAAATGCTTGTGTCGGTAGTATGGCTATGGGTCCAACGTAAGATATTCGAATAATGTGAGAAACTACGGAAGGACACTAATATAATTCTATGTCTCTTATATCTTTATCAAATCGACAAAATTAATAGCATGCATGCCTAATTAGTGCCGGATTTGTGGACTTGTGTTAATTAACCCTTTACACTTTACGACTAATTAGCAACCAATTTTGACCCTCTAAGAATTGATTCATGATTTGTCATACAATTAGTAAAGATCTCATTATTAGATGAACATTATACGCATCTGCATACATTTCTAAACCAATTCTAATTTTATACAAATGATAATTTATTTTAACATAATCTAAATTATAGAGAGGGAAATTCGAATTCGGATCGAGGAGGTTTGCTCTAACCAGCATGTCTGCACTACTTAATTTAACATGAAAGGTGTTTAGTCTCCCCCTTTATAAATTTTTTAAGTCTTTCGCTTAGTCAACATGGAGACTTGACTCAATTAGGTCATCAATTGACTCGTGTCAATTGGGTTAGGGAGAGATTTTTCTCTTCTCGAAGGTTGTATCTGAACTTTTGCATCTCGGACATCTAACACCTCCGCTTGTTCGTTAGACTTTTATAAAAAATTTAAAATTGAGCAATGTCAAAACAAATAAAGAATTCATTTCCATATGTCTAACTAGAATTTTAGTGCACATACGTGGGATCAAAATAGTAAAGAAGCTTGGTTTGAAACACTTACTCCCAAGGGACGTCTCCCACTAGCATCCAGTCTCCATCTTTGTCTTCATAAATAGGAGCAAATTCGCAGTTCTCTGCATCCTTCAACACCTCGCCTGTCAACGCATACACAAAATTTTAATACCATTTTCTTTAGTTGTTTTTCTTTTTGAATTTGTGATGCTTTATGTGTTCATATAATATTTTTTGGACAATACTTTCCTCCTTACCCATAAGGAGGAACTCTTCCTTACCTTCTATTGTGGCTCAATCACAAAGTGACATGTGTCCTCTTTTTCCGAATTATCAAAGCGAATTTTTTTTTATAACTTTTATTGAAACCTTAGCTTTTTACCAAAACAAAAAAACAAAGGGCCACAAAGACTTAATTTTGACTGAGGAAGGAAAATTCTTATTTTTTTTAAAAAGGTTGAGAAAAATCAAAATAAAAAAAAATTTGGGATTTTTGTTTTTTTGTTTTTGTAAAAAAATAAGGGCTTAGTAAAAATGGAAGGAAAAAAAAACTGTTTTGACAATTAAAAAATAGAGGACACATGTCACTTTGTGGTTAAACCACAATAGAAGGTAAGGAGGGAAGTATTGTCCATATATTTTTTTTCTTCTTAAATTGAAGAAATCAGCTTCTTTTACCACATTTATTTTTTCAGAGCACAACTCATTTGACATATCTGATTATATATATACAAAAGTGTGGTATAAAAAAAAATTAAGATAGTGTTACTTCTGAGTATTTTGATCTTCTCTTCATATAAATATCTTAGAGTCTGTTTGGTATTTAATTTGAATCCAACTTTTCAAACTCAAAAACAAAATTTGAGTGCAAAACAATGAAAACCTTTTTAGTAGTCCTATTTTTAAAAACTCAAACTCAAGAACAACTAAAAAAAACACCCCAACTATTAGAAACAAAAAATATATGTTTTTTCAGTTTTTTTTTAACAACCCACAAGTTCTCAAAATTTTAAAATTTGAAAACAGTTTTCAAGTTGCATACCAAAGAAGTTTTTGAATCTTAAAAATAGATTTAAGAACTTCTTTTTTTTAAGAAAAATCTAAGTTTTTGAGTTCGCTATTTGAATAGAATACCAAACGCCCCATTAATGTTTTCCCATAAAATTTCTATATGTATAAGTTTAGTTTCATGCTATAAGAGCTTAACATTTAAAACTTTAAACAGTAAAGACCAATTTAAATATTACTACTCACCGATGCCAAAACAACCAAATAGCTTCTCCAATGCCACAGCAAGATCTGCGTACTGGTTGTGTATGCTCAAGTCAATTTTACGAAGAAAGGGAGCTCCATCCATGCTAACCTTGACATACATTTTGGACGTCTCATTTAAGCTATTAATCTTCCTCCGGTAAGAACACACCGGAGGCCACCCCACAACTTGGTTCTTCGTTTCGCTTTTCCGGTCGTCATCACCGGATGTGCTATTATTATGTCCATCTCCGCCAGCAATCTCTGAAAAAACCCTTTTCTTCTCGTTTTTGTCCACCAATATTGGACCACTGGATAGCCCCAGCCTCAGCTCTGTGATTTCAAGCCCTAAACCTTCTTTGGCCATTTGGGTTTTGATAGTTTTGAGCAATTTTGTTTGTGTTGCTTTGCTTTTTTCTTGATCAACTGTTGATTGGTGGGAGATTGGGGTTTTTTGTGTGTACAGTTTTAAGTGACTAAAAGCAAGTTCTTATATTAGGATGGAGAAGTTTAGAGAGGACATGGTGGGAGCAATGACAGGTCAACTAGGGCTTAGTTGGTCGGTCACATGAGAGGCAGAAGTGGGGGATATGTGCTCCCTACAAACACTAATAAAGGCCGGCACCATAAGGTGGATATGGGACAGATCCTAAGGCTGTTGGTGCTTGGTGATATGGTGGGATCGGATCTTCACCGTTTGATCTTTTGACTTGGGACCGGTCATGTGATTTCCTTGATTATGGTCGTGCTTGCCTAATTTCTTGCTGATTGTTGGGGTCTTATTTTAGAGAAGGGGCTGGGATATATGGCTGTATCATGAAACATGGGAGTACGTTTTGCAACATATATGATCATTATTCATGCCATTCATCATGCATGTACGCATGAGTACTAGTGAATCATGGTGCATGTTACATACATAATTATGGCTGCTGGCTAGAATTATGTACCTATTTGTGTTAGTATATGTATGAATATAATTGCCTGTGCATGCATTGATCCGCATGATGGCATGATGGTAAATGGATATGTGAACATATATATACCAGCTGTAATTATAAAAATAACCAAGAGGCTTTCAATTTGCAAAGGTGTCACAACCAATGCTTTGCTAGGAAGAGAGTATGTGCGACTATTTATGGAGAGAGACTTTCATACGACGAGTGCAATGATACGTGAGATAATTTTTTCATGTGTCATTGTATTATTGGCTGAAAATAGCAAAATAGTGTTATTCATGTTGCATATGATGTGACAGTACGACACATTTTAATTAAAGATGATATGTATGCAAAATTTAATCACCAATTTTAAACACATGTCATCTTTTACTGTATTGTAATTCTCACTGCCACGTGCCAAGAATAATGAGGAGTGGTGTGGTCTGGTTTGGATCAATTTTACCTCCAAACTGTGACCATTTAATCCACCGTTGAGCGGTACAGTTTGATTCGGTCTGACTGGTTACCTAACTTTCAATTAACCCCTTATCTTATTTTTTTAATAAAGAAAATTAAGGATATGATATTTTTTTTTGTTAATATCGTCAACATTTCATTTAATTTGCTGTTAAATATGAGGACAAATTGGTCATTTCATATGCTAAAAATAATTAAATAATTTAAAATAAAATAATATGAAATATAAAATGAAAAAATCATTTTAATAAACAAATGGTGGGCGCCCACCCCCTCCACCTCCTCTCTCTCTCTCTCTCTCTCTCTTCAATTTTTGCCTCATGAGTCAGAAAAGGGAGGTGGCGACAATGGAAGGAGGGAAGCAGGTGGGGAAAGTGGTGGTCTGGTTACGGGGGAAGAAAACAGAGGAGAAGGCAGGCACAAATAGGCCTAGGTTTGTGGGTGGGGATAGGGTTTTCATTTTTGTTTTTGTTATCTTTTTCTTCAATTTTTTTTTCATATTTTTATTTTTAATGATTTAACAAAAAATTGGATGAAATATTGAGGATTTAGACGACAAGGAAAACTTATGTGAACCTCTCTTGGAACAACATGTAGTCAGAGCCAAACATATGAACCAATATATTAGGGTTGGTATAACCTCTCTCATGTAGGATGGTATAGTTTTTTTGTGGATACACTAAATAGACTTTTTATCGTTAGTGTAGCATGTTCTAGTCAATGGCTAAGCCACAGAGGCGCAAGGAGGACCTGCACCTCCACTCACCGAAAAATCGTTTGGAGAGGTTTGAATCTGCCATTATGCTGGTGGCCACCATGTTTTGACCGAACAAATGGTGATGCGCTGCTGCGAGGTGATGAAATCTCCAAATCGAGATAGAGAAGGAGAGTAGAGGGGAGAAGAAGATGAAGAGGAGAACAAGAGGAGAGATGAAACGACTGGGAAAGAAAAGGGAGATTGATGACAGGAGAAAAAAAATGTGTTAGGGTTTTTTATTTATAATATTTATTATGCTGTAAGTAATTAAATACCATTGTTATACGAAAGTTATACAAGAAGCTTACTTGCTCCAGTGGCATGGGGAGTTGTTTGAAACATGAAGGTTTGGGTGTTGGGCGGAAACATTCCAAGACCTTGTCGTTGATGGACTATGCAACGACACACACACAAACCCCTTTGAGAAAAAACACACGTACACCGAAATGAGAAAACAAACACACAATAACACAAATATTTATAGAGGTTCGGCCTCGTGCCTACGTCCTGTTAGTGATCCACCTGAGAAATTCACTAGTATGTAAGAACAACTTTGGTTACAACTTAAACCCTCTTAACTCTCACAAGAATCCTAGCTCTCTTTTCTCTCACCCTTTGCTCAAACCCTTGAGATGCCCTTGAAAACACCCTTGAATTCCCTTGTCATTAACCTAGCCCCTAAAAGTCCTATTTATAATGTATAGGACTTTTGCTACAAGTTAACTAGGAATAGGAAACTAAAACCCTATTAAATTAAGCTAGAAAATCAAAAAAATAATAGGAAAACCAAGTTAAGCACCCCAAAAACGCCAAAACACATTCAACACTATTCACGCAACCGACCGGTCGCTTGGAGAAATTCACGACTTCGCTGTTCTCTGTCAAAACCGACCGATCTCCCGACTTTTCTCCTTTGCTGCAACACCTTGCTATGGTCGCTTTCTTCTTCCTCCTACATCCTATGGTGAGCCAATCTTCAACAGTTTGAAACCCTCTAAAAAGTCCTGACTCCGCCACAGATTCTAGTGGACATAGCTCGACAAACCCCAATTGGGCTTGGCCACATAATTCAGTTCGTTGCTTTATCCATATTTGGATAGAACCAAAGCATTTAACAATTAAGTGCCTTAAAATTTATAAATACAAAACGAAAAAAGTTACTAGTTTGAGCACCATTTGTATGGATTACATGCATGTGATGGGAGCCACACCTCCCATGTTGATGGTTTATTCAAGACATAGGGCAAACAAGAGGACTAATTAAAAGGATGTACGACACTCTGTATATCCAGCATTTGTTGTTGCCATAAATTTTTTGCATGTTATGTGTTGGGAACCAAAAGATAATCGTACTGGGAACCAGAGTCACGATAAAGTAGTTCAATGGGTGCTTCTGCTGAACCCTCAAACAAAGTCTCAAAGAGGGCCCAGCTAGCTAACTGTAAACAACCTGTCTGGCTGAAATTTGCTAAGCTAGTCAATTTGTTTTAAGTTTGGCATTCATTTGTGACCCGATGTGCTTTTATATTGTTCCCAAATGTCGTCTTGCACACCTTGGTTCTATTCTCCTGCATAGATTAGAAGGACTTTGAGTTCATGTTCCACGAAGAAGATCAATTTGACTATTCATTTAGAATTTCCATTATTTGATAAGACCATTTTTTCTTTTTTTACTAAGCTCATGTTAGATTAATTGGATTTTGATTTTGGTCCTTTTGGTTAAGTGCGTTATTATGACTATATATATATAGAATCCCCTTCTATTGAGGGATCCCTCAAATAATTTTATTTGAGGGACGCCCTTTAGGGTACTCTACAATTTTTTTTCTCAATGATCCAAACAATTTATTTTTTAGGTCTTCATTCATAGATCATCCTTACAAAAAATTGGACAAATCGGAAACCGTTTCGACATCCAATTGTATCTTACAAAATCAATGAACACGGTGCTTCAAGAAAGTACTAAAATTTCAATAACTCAATTGAGTGGTCAAATGATATCGGATTCAAGTGATTTTTTGTAGAGATGATCTTTGAATGAGTATCTACAAAATAGACGGTTTGGATTAGTGAAATACAATCCGAAGTGGGGCCTACAAGAGGTGTCCCTTAATGGAAGCTATATATATATATTAAACAACTTTGTAATCCAAAATAATGTATCTAACAAAGAATGACTACGTAATCAAAGTCTAATCTAAAATCGGAATTATAAAAATAAATCCCAAGTGGTCATTGAACTTTTTAAAGACAAAAAAATCATTTTTGGTTCCTGTAGTTTATTATTATTTTTATCATTAAAGTCCATGTAGTTTCATCAATTTGATCAATTTTGTTCTTGTATAGTTTGAATTCCAAGCAATCTAAATATAATTAATCCCTAATTTATATCAAATTACTCTAATTTCTTTTCACATATAGAGGCATTTTGGTCCAATCTTGCAGCCCCTCCCCAACCTCTCCCACAACCACCCCAGCAGCCCCTCCTGTAGGTTACTTCAACTCTCAAGTCTCAAAGTCCCTTATGTCCAATCTTGTGACTTTTTTTAGTCTTAATCTTGAGATTTTGTTTTTGGGAATTTGGGTTCATGAGAAGAGGTTTTGGGCAATGCATGGAATTAGGGTTGGAGTTTGATGAGAGAGGGGGGATTGCCCCTCAATGTGAATAGAAATTAGAATAATTTAATAGAAATTGGGGATTGTCCTTGAATTGCTTAAAATTCAAACTACAAGGACAAAATTGATCAAATTGAAACCACTAGGGACTTTAGTGGTAAGAATGGTAAATTATAGGGACCAAAAGTGATTTTTTCCCCTTTTGAAAGTCCACATTTTAGTTCTCAAACTCTCTAATCAATAAATGTGGTCTTTCATTTTTTGGTCTACACATCTATTTGGTCCCTACTGTCACATTTTCAACAAAATTTTGAATAAAATTGGCCACATGTCATGGTGTGACCAACTTTAAAGGAATATTATCATCTAAATATAGCTCATTTTAGTCCTAAATTTGACATTTTTTGCTCAACAAGTTCTGTTCTCTCCAATTAGGGTTTCACATTGGGGTCCACATCAAGTAGAGCATATTGCTTTGTTGAGCAAAATACGTGAGATTTACTTTGTGTCATGGGTGGATAGGTTGTATTTTGACAAAAGAACCCCTTCAAAGTTAGTTAAGTGGCCAATTTTAAC